TTCAATGTACCCTTGTGTGTATTATATATATTTGTAGTTTCAATTCATTCATTGTAGTTGATGTACCTGATGATGCCAGGTTAACCTGGTGAAACATTGTACTTTCATTAAATTTTACTCTGTTTATCCGATTTATCAAATTTCCTTTTAATTACGACAGAGTACTTCTTTTCATCGTATGAGTCTATCCAGTTGATTCAATATGAGCATACAACATACAGTTTGATTACTCCCTTACTACAGTACACTTATCGGCTCGCCAACTGCTTGTGTAAAAGTGTCAGATGATCGTATTCTTATTCCATTCATCCCTGCGAAACTTGGGGCTTATTTACCTCTCCCCCTTTACATTCCAGATGGAGACTATTTCCTGGTCAAGACAAGATGCAGTCTCTCACAGGTATGCACCTATGTAAACTCTGCCATCAGGTGTCACGCTCCATGGACATTCCCTTTGGGCACTTTCTGAAGGGAGCTCATCTAGGTTTAACTTTGCACTGGCCCCTCCACCAATTCAACATGGGATTCTAACTATTCTGTGTGTGGAGATGAGGTATCGTCTCAGATTTTTTATTTATGGCAAGACTTTCCCATCAGATTTGGTAGTAATAGTGAAATTTGAGGTGATGGCAGCTTTTAAAAATTTTCATAAACTGTTACCAGTTTAGAATTTTTGAAACATTATAAATGTCCACATTTTCTACATTCAACTATTTTATCTCATAGAATTTGTCAATTAAATCCTTTAGAGAAACACAACTACAATTCTAAAGAATAAGATAATTTATGATGGAATTTGGTGCAGTTTTCATTCAACTAGGATCTCCATCACAATAATGGATATCCAATCACTAGTTGGACTTACAACACTAGAAACCGGGTTTCAATACCCATGGTGGGCAGAGCACAGATAGCCCATTGTGTAGCTTTGTGTTTAACTTCAAGCAAAACAAACCAATCACTACTACCTTGCCATAAGTACTTAATGACCTGGTATAGCCTGGGACTTTGTAAGGGATTTTGAAAAACATGTCTATAAGTTAGCAAACATAAATAACCACTTCACCTTCCTCCATAAACATAAACAACATAACATAATTCCTTAAGGATTTAAGATCGTATTACCTATCAACAGCCTGTGATGTTAAAGACTAACTCAGAAACTTAATAAAGGTATATCCCAAGATAAGATCAAATATTACCGTATAAATACATATGATTTATAGAATAACAGTAAAACTATATAAGAAGATAGATAATACAACAGCCAACACAGTCACATAGACTCTACCAAGATATTCACAGCTTTTCAAACTTCATAACACAAAGATGCATATACTTAAGAAATTCACAAAAAAATTATAATTAAATTGATTCTCAAAACAAGATTATTTCTGATGCTGAAACGCACCTAAGTGCACCCCATAATAAACTTAGTTAGATGACCATTGACAGGACTGGAAAAATGTACTAAGTAAAAGACTAAACTTCTCTCTACTACATAACAAAATATGCATCTTTGATATAGCTACTGCCTCAGAAGAAACAATTTACAGCCTACCAGATAAAGAAAAAAATATCAGCAGTCCACAATGCCATGAAATGTAAACCTAACCAATTTACACCATATCAGGAAAAAACAAGTCTTAGAAACTTCAAGAAAGACAACACCATGACAATGTCACTGTAGAAATGAGGAATAGTTCATCAAAACTCTAGATAACAATGTCCACTACAAAAAAGATCAAGTTTAACTCAACTGGTAATAGAGAAAAATTAAACAACCCATTCAGAAACAGAAACAGCTAAAGTACACTAACAGCACCATCCTACACATCTTTAGCTTATTTGATATTCACAGACAAGTCTACTCTTGTAGTATTCTCAGGGTAAACTTATTATGCATGAGTATTAAGTAGGTTTGCTTTATAATGGGAGGATAAGCAGGATAAATCACAAAGTAATGTTGAATTTAACTAATAGACTGAGTTTAAGCTAAGAAATTAAGAGATTTGGCAGGATGTGTAATACTGTACTTATTAACAAAGGCAAAAACACAGTGTGACTACTTGCATTGGACACTGGACTCATGAACTAATCAAAAGAATTTCTTCCCTCAAGGTTTCTTCCCATCAACCAACTTGCTTGAGATCCTACATAGACTGTTTCCAATTTAATATTTCTCACTTAACAGTAGACATTGGGTTCAGCCATAAGTGGCTAGTGTTATCTGCATAACCTCTAGATACTGCCTGTCCAAACAGCAAAGGACAATGTTGTTATCTACATTCTTGCACAACTGGTAGTGTTACAGCAATACACCCCACCCCCTCCAGTGTGAATATTATCTCTATAGAATAACAAAGGCAGCTTGAACAAAGTGAACTTAATGGTTATCTGGACTATGTGTTGTTCAAAACTCCACAGATTTAGAATAAATGAAGTTTTCTGCATTAAAATGAGAAGGTAAAAAAACACATGGTATGCCTGCATACTGCACATTCATAGTCTCATAGTTAACTGCAGAAATTTGCCATGCCACCCCTTAGCTAGATATCACCATTAAATGGTAAAACATTCTCACATTTAAGAACTCAGTTCACTTTGTAGATGTTATGAAAGCAACCGTGATAACCACATGAAACACAATGGTCAACTTGGATGTTTCCAACTTCTACATAATGTATCAACTTCTGACATACTACAAATACTCTGTCAACATCTTGAAAATGAAAGAACTTGCGGAATGCACTGAATTTGCAATTTCCACAATAATACAACTCATAACCTTCTGTGTCAGCACAACCTATTTCAATCTTAAAGATAAATACAATCAAAAACAAAGCCCTAACTATAGGTACAGCTGGATGATTGGTGTTAATTGATTAATTGCCACGTTCATTAATCGATTACATTCAATTAATTGATTATTCTTATGAGAGGACTACAAACTTATAACACTAAAACTTAAGTTTTGATACCCTTGGTGGGCAGAGCACAGATAATTCATTGTGTAGCTTTGTGCTTAACAACAAACAAACATAATGGCAGTATTTCAATTAATTGACCATTCTTGTGAGTCATGACACTAATCAAATACTGGATAGTTGGAATTATCTAAAACACTAACTTGGATTTGTTGATTATGTTCATAACATTAATCAAAATTAATTATAACTTCGGTTAATGAATAATTGGTATAACCGAAAACAATAATAATTGGAAACATTATTTAATTATTTTCATGATTCTAATTGATTTAATCAGAATTTTAATTATTCAGTTATTTTACATGACACTAATCATTGTGACTGATGCTCATAGGTTATTAATTTTATCACCTAGCTTTAGTTATGGGCTCAGCCTATTTCAATATCTTATGCATGGAAATTTGGAAGTTAATGACTTATAAACAGCCACTCGACATTCTTGAGATTTGGTTCAAATATGTTATAATACATATATGTAATATGGCCACACACCCACACTACAGACAATGTTCAAGAATCATGAACTGCTTGAAAAAACAATATGGCATAATATGATTCACAATAGAAATAGAAAAGTTAAGAAACTCCTGTTCTTCAACGTGATAGATACCAAGACATATAAATCATATACACCTACCACAGGAGTTTACAGGAAATTCACATATACAGGTAAATATCTTGGCTATAAATCAAACCACCTAAACAATTTCAAAGACAGGCATCATAGACAGTCTAGTTTCCAGAATGAACAAGGCTTGTAGTACTGAAGAAGCTAAAAGAATGGAAGAAAATGCATTACGACCTGAAACATTTGATAAAGAAAATTTAGCCACGAGAATAAATGGGAAGAAAATTACAGACTTACAGCCATATTTACTTATGTCAGAGGTCTCTGAAAATATACAGAAGATATGTAAACAACATAAAGTCAGAACAGTATTCAGAAGCCACAACATAATACAAATACTGTTAGTACACACTAAACCATCTAAAGACTCTTTGGAAAGGAAAAATACCTTTTATAACATTTTGATAACAAGGTGGATTCCAATAAAAAGACCAACAAATGTTTGAATTGAGGAGCATTATAGACATACAAGACTTAATAATACTGATCTATCTGCAATAGCTCATCATACCAAAGAAGAAGCCCATACGATAAATTTGAATAATACTAATATAAAGGATACGAACCACACACACACAAGAAAGAAAGAGGTAAAAGAAGCTTTCTAATCCTTCTAACTAATAACTCAGTCAAGCCAACATAGAAGTCTGGAAAACCTGAATACCTTCCTATAAACATTCAAATAGCTATTGATTCAAGTTCTAATGGGGAAACCCCAATCAAGTGGGTAATCATAATTTGCTTAAAACTTAAGGATACAACTGAATAGATCTTTGATTGCACTAAATGGATTTTATTCATTTGAAGAAACTAACTAAAATGAAATGTAACTGTGCATTATCACAGCACACAATTAACCAAGTGTGTATATAAAATGTTTAATTTTGATAACCTTGTCAAACTTAAAAGGTAATAATAAAAATAAAAGTTGTATTATTTAAAACCTTTTCCCTCAATCACCCTAACTAAAACTGACAGACATTTGGCACTTGCCTTTACATATGAAATATCATTTTACTTGTGTTCTTTTATAATGCTGGTTCATTTTAAACTTTTATAACTTGCATAAGCTGTCTATCATTGTCATCTTTTTATAACCACAGTTTTGATAAGAAATTATATAGTTTACATTTTGAAAAAACATTGAGTTGGTATTAGTATTTGTAAGAATTCTTATTTAGTTTTAAAAAACTAGTTACATGTAAAATATAATGGAATAATTATTTTTAATAGAACAGACTTGACTGTTAAATCACACTCCAACCTCTACATAAGAAAATTACATAGAAAAAACAATTCTATCACAAAAGCATTTTTAAGGATATTTGCCAGTTGGAAATAATTTATGAATTATATAAGGTATGCATAAAATTTGTAAAATAGACTAACAATTTAGCACCAATACTATAAATATTAGCAAATTTATAGACGTTAGTTTTTTATGTTATTCATGTGTGTATATATATATATATATATATATATATATAAATAC